GAGAGAGAGAGAGAGAGAGAGAGAGAGAGAGAGAGAGAGAGAGAGAGAGAGAGAGAGAGAGAGAGACGATGGCGGCCCGCGGAGAACCCTACAGTGGGACGTCCGCAGGCGACGGTCCTTTGCGCGTTGAGGCCAGGCGGTTGCCCGCGAAGCCGGTCTCCCGTCAGCTACCACCCACCGGCAACCGCATCGCACCGCACCGACCGCCCAACTGCCACGCACCAACCTGTCCCCGGTAGGACCCGGTAGCGTTTCCCGCTGTCCAGGAATGACCACGGCCCGACAACATCCGACCAGGTCCAACAAAAAAAAAAATGAAAAAAAAGATTTCTTATCGGGAACTGGGAATCGATGCCGAGCCTTTTGCAACCCCGGAAAAGTTCGGGTACTGGCCAAGACATCGTAATTGCCCAGCACTGGACGAGGTACTGGTGGTTTAAAAAAAAAAAGAAAAAAAAAAGAAAAAAAAAGAAAGATGAAAACCATACCAGTTTTTGCAACAAAAAAGAATAGCAAAGGATTTTTGGAGTCTAAGAAGAGTCGCTGGTGAGTACGAAAGGTTCGTTATCTGGGATTGCTTGTTTGCAGGCAAGGGTGTTTTGATATCCTGGTTGGTCTTGTCCCGTTGTTTGGCTTGTGATGGAGGGGGCGGTGCTTGCATGTGGGACTTGTCATCTAGGATTTGTTTATGTTTGTTTCCCCCTGTTTTGTTATATTTGGCTGTTCCATAGTTGCGGCGCACCGCGGTGAGCCGGTTTGCGCACGAGTTGCGCACCGCACAGCGCACTGTAGCCCCGTGCACAGAGAAAAATAGGGGTGCGTGTTTTTTTTTTTGTTTTTTGTTTTTTCGTTGATTCGCAGGGGCCCCACCCCGGCAAAAATGACGGCCGGGGCGCGCGACTCGGGAAACCGGCCGCGCCCTGCCTCGGAATTTTTTTTTTTGGGAAGGGCCTACCGAATTCGAAATTTCGAATTCCGCAGGCCTTCCTCCTCAAAAGTTTTCGGCGAGGTTTTCCCGGAGTCGCGCTCAGTCGCCATTCGAATCTTGACGGCACTCGCGAGGGAGGGAGAGGCGCTGCGAGGGACCAACGAAGGTGGGGGGAGAAACGGAAGGGACGAGCAAGAAGCGACCAACGAAGGCGGGGAGCAGCGGGGGAAGGGAGACGAAGGAGGGAGGGAGGGACACGGCGGGACACCATCAGCTCGAAGCAGCGGCGGGAAGCGGCAGCGGGCAGCGGGAGACCGGCGGGCAGCCATGAAGGTGGGCGCGCACCACCTCTCTCTCTCTCTCACACACACACACACACACACACACACACGCTTGCACACACAAACGCACGCAACAAGTGTGGCGGTGCATATTTTCATGTTCTGGCCGTTTATTCTGTCCGATTTTGCTCAACCTAGCGATGGGTTTGGAGAGTCTTCCCGAGCATGGGCCTATAACTCAGTTGTGTTAGAGTATACGCCTGATAAGTGTTATGTCACCTGTTGGCCAGTGCTTATCCTATCGATGGCCGGTACTTCTCTCTCTCTCTCTCACACACACACACACACACACACGCACACACACACACGCACACACACACACAGACACGCGCGCACGCACACAGCCAAAGAAACAAGTGTGGCGGTGTATATTTCCATGTTGTAGCCGTATATTCATCCGATTTTGCTCATCCTTCCTTCTTCCCCCGAATACAACGTACGGTCATTATAGCTGTATCTAGACTGAAAGATGCCTCAAATACAGCTATAATGACCGTACGTTGTATTCGGGGGAAGAAGGTAGCGATGGAAGTTGCGTGAGGCCAGCTGCGGGGTTGGAGACTTACCTGTTGGCCCGTGCTCTCATCCTATCGATGGAAAACTCTCTCTCTCTCTCTCTCACACACACACACACACACACACACGAAATGACGACACACACACACACACACAC